CAAATGCATTAGCATTTCTACGGAACAAGTCGCCACATGTTCCAACCCCCAACCTGGAGGGCCAGGAGACTGTGTTCGTCTGACCTCTAACCATTGACCAACCTGGTATGAGAGACTCTGTGAGTGTCGCGGGACACTCTCCAGTATAGCTCAATGGATCGCTGAGGTGCGCAAACCGTCACACCACGGTAAGGTCCAGTCTCTTCGTGACGGAACTTCATCTACGGAAAAGCTACAACTTCAAAGCAGTTTCTGGAGATATTCTGCACACTGATGGCACGTTTATTTTGCAAAAGCGGCGTCCACAGAAGCGTAATATCACAGTCTTCTACAATTTTGTTTGTTGCAAACTGTTGATAGCTTCAGACGAAATGAACCAGTGCTTTGAGTTTAGTTTGATTTGCGTCTCTACCTTGTAATTCAATCAGTCATACCATTACCTTTATAATAGAAATGACATGTTCACGTTTGTTGGATCTGTATGTAAGAAAGTATCTGTCAATTGTTTAAAGGAACAAATAATCATAAATTAGCTGTTAAGAATCAGTTGAAGGTCATTTCACTCTTCGTTATCCTCATCCCAACTCATCTCATCGTCAGCATCAAGCTCAAGCAAATGTTTTTGTTTTTGTTTTGTTTCAACTTTTTGTGGGCAATTTCAATTTAGAACTGAGTGTTTCTTTTTGATGAAGTTAAAGTAACGGGGGGTTTGGGAATAGGAGCAAAACATTCGTCGTATGAATCCCTCCTAGATGCTCTTCCAGACATGTGAGTAGCGTGCGTTTTTTATTGACAAAAACTCAGTATGCGAGCAAGGCGTTTGCTCGGTGTTTGGCCAATCATCGCAGTCCTGACCAAAGTGAAGAGTAATCACAGGCCACAAATCGGGTGTGGCAACTGCCAATTTCCTTTCAGCTCACAAGGTCACTTCGCAAATTATTTGTGTCGTATTCCGGCGACCGTTGGACAACATCAGGAGAATTTTGGTTGGTTAAAATACCTTGTCGTTAGGCATATGGTGATGACTATCTCCAGGGGTTCTTATCGCATCATCTGTCTATCGTTCAACTATTTCAGTGCATTTTGGCATTGAAATTTACAGAATTTACAAACCAAGTGAGCATGAATTCGAGAATATTTTGCCAGTTTGAGGAATTTGTAGAGTTTCCAATCGAGATAATGTCCTGCAAGTGAAGCCGATTTCAACACATCACCAACGCATGTATTTACCCNCCTATACAAAACAAGTTGTAAACAATCCGAGATACAAAACACTTAGGCTGCGATTTGCAAACGGATTTATATAAAAACTCTTAGGATCATGCCAAATGCGAGAAATACATCGTTTCACGGCTGTTTTTTTTCGTTAAAAAAACAGCTATGAAAATTCACTCATTGAGCTGAAACACAGAATGCAGAATCTGCTGGCATCGGCCGATGAAGACCAGGTGCTCCATTTGGTAAACACACTGGAGTCCGGTCACGACTCAGAACGTTTGCCAGACCAATTGTTGGCTGAACCTCCATCAAATACGGTTGTGTCTTCAAACACGGTCAACCTGCGTGCGGCTGCACCGAAAGAGAGAAACATCAGAACCCTGTGCCGTAATCGTCGGGCGATTTCTCCGGCAGAATCCACCACATCCTCTTCCTCAGCAGCCAGTTCTCTGACACTTTGTGCAAGACCAGTGAAACACTCGGTAAGATCATCTGAGGTGAAACATGACACACGAAAGATCAATCTCTTGGATGATTATGTTCCAGTGCAGTACGCAGTTCCTATCGAAAGTCAACACAAACAGGAGACAAAAGTTGTCCCGTCGGAGAGGATGGCAAGACCAACAGCTCAAACGTTCAGCGATGCGGAATCCTCGTTTTCGAGTTGTCTAAATCAGGTAATTTGACTAATTCATACCGATCACTTGTCAATACAATGTGCACAATCTCCAAACCTAACAAATGAAAAATACGTCAGTGCTACTCACCTTCCAGGATGGGGACCGCATGATCCTCACTGTGCCTGGTTGGAGGCACTACAAGATATGGCTGCCAACCGATGTCAGTGGCGTTCTTGTTGTCAGTTTCTATCCAGATTGCCTGAGTGAACGTCTGGAGGTGTAGGCACCTCGGAATGATTGTGGTAAGCTAGCACTAATTCCCTTCCCTGTCCACCTTTACTCTTCGCTTCACAATAAGGGTTTCAAACAAATCATGGTTGTACGGCGGTGAAGCATCGGTGTCGAACATTGATGTCATGCTGTCGATGATGGCGATGATGATGATTATGTCAAGACTCCAGAATTCTCGTAGATGGGATCAAGTGTAGGACATCGCTATTCAATCCGTCCGTGCATTTGCTTTGTAAATCTGAATGGGGACTGCCTGTTGCACGACGCACTTACAGTAGGTTCTTTGTTTTGCTAGATAGCCCCGCAAAGTCTTCGATCACTTCCGGATGTGTTTTCTAGGGATCTAATGAGTCACATCCAGGATTAGAACATAAGTTCGATGGAAATTTTGAGGGAAACTCTTTAACTAATCGGTCGCAAAAAAGGGGGGATACTCATACTGAGCTGTCAAAGCGTTTTCGGCATGAGTGGTCTGCTGCGTCAAGGAACCACAGTTTTGTTCGCGGGTAATGTGAAGAGATTTGAGGATTATTAGGACAGAGTTTTCCCTCTGAGTGTGGCCAATCTGTGTTGTAAGGCTGAGAAGCATTTTACACTTGTCCCATTCTCATTGAGAATCATCAGCAGTGCGAAATTCAGGGAGATTCAACTCAGCTATTTACCGGCTTATAATCTCAACACCTAACCACTGAGCCACAATCGGCTGTTCAGCTTACAGGAAGAATAATTTCACAAGGCGAATGAAACTTACATCCAAGAAGTCATCATCAGTGAACGATAAAACAGCTCTAAAGTGCTTCTCGGCTTTTCAGAACAAACTGGCCTCATTTACAAGACGGAATCTCCAATACGGTTTGGTTTATCCATCATATTCTCCTTCACTCGTCTCTTCCTTCTGTACATACTATCTATAGCAGTTCCCATGATTTCGTACAAGGGGGTATACCCAATGGTAGATATCGGTTAATCAGTTTCAGGCACTTTTATAACCCATCTTCAAATGTCCGGAACGAAAGTGCAAAAATGTGAAACATCCGGGTAAAAAGACGTATTTTTCGGGTAACTCTTGTCGTGATCTCGACAGGCTGAATTGACTACATGTACGATCATCCATTCTTATGTGGTTTCCGTTCCACTTGTTGAGTTCTCGAATATCTATCAAAGCAAACATTTTGGAAACCGTTTTTATTTGCTATTTTTAACGTGTATCACCATTCCATTAGGTGATTCACTGGTTAGAACATTCCCAGTGGTTACTCACACCGTCGAATTCAGCATTCTTTGTCGTAACTAAAAAGGACGGAGGGCCATCAGATTGCAGACAATGTTGAAATATCGGTAGCTCTGGCACGTGTATTGTTTTTTAATCAGTTGACTACTGCTCTGTTCGCCTAACTTGTCAACTGACTTGCAATCGTTTCCTCACGAAATGAGGAAACATCATGAGCGCGCGGCTGAGTGATGATCTCTCCTTGTTCGCGAGTTACTCATCAAGCTCGACGAACAGATCAATAATTGCCCAATGAAATTGCTTCACATCCTGCATGTGAAATATGACACCTCCTTACAGTTTCAAAAGACTTTCGATGCTTAATGATTATTGATTATTTCAGCTTGAAAGCCCAATAGTCTCGAAAATACAATAAAAACAATGTTTGTATCGCTAGAATATGCAGCCACACTCAATCCATCCAAACAGGCTGAAATGTGTTTTTGTAACGCACTACTCATAAGATTGCTGAAAACTCCTCGACAGCCCAGGCTGAAGTGTCTCTTTTTGATTCGAAACTCCAATCAGGATGGATTTACGGTAATGAATCCAGATCAGCTTTTCACGCTCGCCAGTGCATTGGACCGTCACCACAGCTCATTGGCCAATAGACAGCAGGCACTGCGCCAGTTGGTTCGTCTGCCAATCAACGACGTTCAGGCATGTGAAGCTTGGGCACCCCACATTCTAGAACCAGAGGAGCCCGATTCCACAACATCCTGGATGGAATCAAAGGGACCACCAAAGGGAAAGACAACACAAGGGAACAGATCTTCCAGTTTTTTCGGCATCGCTGGACAGAGGGGAATTGTCAGATCGTCTAGAAGCGATAAACCTCGTGATAACATGGAGTGCCGTCCCCTGAAGCATCCTCGTGCAGGAAGTTGTTTGAGACAAGGATTGGAAGACGCCTTGAATGATGAAGACGGTGTTTTGTGGGTAAGATGACATTAACAACCGGCGAGCATACCGATATGTTAGGTAACAATACAGAAAATAACATATGAATACCAAGTTTGAAATGCACTTCACTTTGGAGTTCAGCCCTCCAACAAAATAGATGAAACAATCTAAACTCTCCGTTAAAAGAAACCCAGAATGCCAACATACTTCATTTGAAGGAATGCAAGCCTCAGTGGAATACAGTTCGTCTCTAGGCATTAAATCATCATCCTCATCATCATCATGAAAGGCAGCAACATCAGTTTTGACACTGATGCTTCAATCCCGTACAACCATAAGTTAGTCTAATTATATCTAAAGCCCTAGAGTGAAAAGAAATGAAAAAGAGTGGGTGAGGGAGGGGACCTAGTCATGATCTATGTCAAGCGTAATGCGGTGCGTACACCTCCAACCGCTCAATCAGACAACCTGGAAAGCAACTGACAACACAAACGCCACCAACATCGATTACCCGTCGTTTCTTAAAATGTATCCAGCCTAGCACACATGGAGTCACGGAGTCCTGGAAGGCGTACAACATCAAACATACTCAAACTCTTCGTGATCTTTTTCACGCCCTTCTGTCAAGTCATGCGTTGTCCACCTCGCGGTTTTAAACATTCTTAAGGGTACACGGAGAACAACACTCGACTCGGAAGACGGTGTTTTGGGATGCGTAGCACATGACCAAGCCATCGTAGTCGATGATGCTGGGTGTTCTCTCGGATTGAAGTGCCTGCAGCACAACCAAATACCCGTTTTCTAGTCACCTCGTTACTGACAAGCTGACGCCATCTAGAACCAGTAACGTTTTAGAAGCATCGGTCGTCAGAAACCTGAAAACATCTCACATTCTCTGTCCGCCCAGGCCATGTCTCGCACCCATACAATAACACAGCCCTTACTGTAGCCTGGTACACACGACCCTTAATATCGAGTGAGATGCCTTTTTGACGCCACAAGTGTCGCAAATTAGCAAACGTGATTCGAGCCTTTGAGATTCTTGCACTGACTTCATCAGACACACTTCCGTCAGAGCTAATACAACTACCGAGGAATGTAACTAAACTATATGATAAACAACATCTTATTTGTCTTTAAAACGGTGAATTTCCGATTCACCTCCATTCACCATTCCACAAAGTGATATGCTTGAATGGCAATCAGCAACTTCACAGCTGATGTTGCTTGAGCAGAACAGTTACGGGAGGACCATTACAATCTTCCTCTCCGTTTCATTTTTTCCTGTAAATAATTACTAAAGCCGGATCGAAGTTGTAAATATGCTAGTTAACATTCTCACCTGAATCCCTTCCCGTTTTTCCCCCGCAGTCGTTGGCCCTACGGTACGTCTGCAAAGGTCTGGAGACCTCACCGCCAAATATTCGGGAACCGTTTTTCTTGCTGAGTGAGTACACTAAAAACAGAATTTGCATTCTAATCTCGTTGAATGGGTTCGATTGGATGCCTCATAACCTCAACCTTATTGGTCTCCGTTGCCAACTGAAGGAACATTCCACCGGCTTTTTTACAATAGCTGTGGGCTACTCATTTAAATTAAGTAGCAAGAATCGACTGACGTTTCCAATAGTCAGAGATGCAAAACTCACATCAAATGAATCGTTAAGGCAAGTTCACAAATGTCGCATTTGGCTTAGTTCTTCAAAGTAAAACAGTTTTCGACGCACAACAGATTCACACTCTTGTCTCTGTCCCATGTTGAACAGGACTGGGCTTCTTCGGGGACAGAGAGTTCACATTGGTCTTACCCCCTTTTCCACTACCTTCATCCCGAACACGCGGGTTTCGTCTATCTCCACCATAGGCTGGACAAGTGATGTGCGGTGTTCAGTCAAGAATGAAAATTTAGGAGACAACTGTAGGTGGTAGAGATCAGTTACTAGAAAATCTAGCTAGGTTCAATCAGCGGCTTCAATTTTTGTGTTGTTATCCCACATATGACGTGAAATCAAACTGCCGTGGAAACAGTCGATATAGTTCCGAATGGAATGTCACTACATTGGACACTCTGCGCACTACCGCCAGATCCAAACTTTGCGTTGCTTGGAAGCCCTATATTTAGAGATAGAATGTTGTTTCAACTAAACAAACTGACGTCTTTGCCGGCTGTGTCACTTGTCCCAGTGTCCAACAGCTGGAATCACACACCGCTTTTGTTTAGTTCTCTTTATCGGGTCAGTTGTATCACCTGATCAGCTTCCTTTCCACTTTAAAACCACTCTATTTGTTTCTCATCCTATTGCGACCATTCTCACCATAGATATGTGCACGTGGAGATTCATTTTACTAAAAAGGTGACGCCACACGAATAGAGAATAACGTAGGTCAAACAATACATTGAAAGTCCTCATGGATTGGCCGTCCGTAATAACAGCGCCGCATTCATTCTTCAGCGATGTTGTGAGATTTTGACCTCTACCCCGCGTTTTTACCAGCTTTGCGAACGTCTAATGAACTTTTTCACTTCGTCCGAAGGGAGCGTTCAGCACTGTTGCTTATTCTTGATGCACACACTGGCACAAGATGATAAACCTGTTCATTATTCGTCCGCCTCAACAATTAGGTGATAAAAAACTAGACATCTCCTCCACTCATAGGGTAGCTGAAAGCTCTTCGACAGCCCACGATCGGTTTCGCCCTTTTTGGGGCTCATTAGTTAGGCTCAGTCCACGAGTTTCCGTCAACCTTATGTTCCACTTGAACCCAAATTGCACGAAATTAGCGAACTACACTCATTTGCAAACAAATTTGGTTTTGATGGGAGACTCACCTGGAACCACGCTGAATCCCTCGTTTAGGGTGTTGTTTAACAACTGAAAGTGCCCACCAGGTCGCCTCATGTCAGAAACTCTTTGGAATAGCAACCGATAAAACATCTGATTCAGCGACGCTGGGAATTCCTCTTTTCGGTATTCTGAGGCGATTTTTCAACCGGAATTTCGTCCTGTCACACGACAAGTGAACCTTCCACTTGTAGGGTCGTCACTCGAGCGTCCAGTGAACACATGACCATGTAATGTAAATTCCATGACCGAAGTTAATCATGCTTCTGATTGGCTGCTCTTACTCGGACATTTTGTTATGCGATCGAGGGTTAGAAACTCTTTAGATTTTCATAAAATGCGCGCTGCTGGTCACTCCCAATAATAATGAAACAGTGGTATGGTTGTTCTTGGTTTGATTCTCCTGAATCGGCCGCTTGCGGACTGAAAATTGTTTCATCTGCGACCAAAGGAGTCTTGTTTGATTGGAAACTGGTTGCAAGGAAAAAGCTTTCCTATTTCCCAAATAATCCCTCCTGGGTAGGACGGATTCCTCTTGAAAAAATGGGTCAAGTTATTTGAGTCTTTTCATGTGCTCCGAGATCTTGTACGCGAGTAAAAGTTGCCTGCAATGAACATAATGAAAATAAGTAATTGTGTGTTTCACAGCGGGACAGCTTATAGAATGGGTTTCAGTACAACTTCCAGAGCGTCAAATAAGGGTCTTTAAAGCAAATAATAAGCTATTTAATTTTCTGTGCCCTCAGTACCTTTCCAAACAAAACAGTGCTGTTGCAGCAAGGAGTTAAACAATCAAACAAGTAGTCCACGCATTCTAGCTGCTGTCTTTGGGTGCTTTTATGGCACATGACCTCGCGACCACGACATATTCCATGCGTACCCTGACAGAACAAACGCACTGAATGGGGAAGTCAGTGTTTGCTAAAAGTTCTGGAGCGGCGCTGCTGTATCATACGGTTGTGAAGCTCAGTTTCTGCAACCAATCACCCCGTTTTTGCGTTATTCTCCTGGGGTAGTTGTCTGACAGCTCTTCACTCTTATTTTTTTCGATCGCTGTCGACAGCATTTCCCTTCACAAACGTAATCCTGTATTTTCTTGAAGGAAACTACTCACAAGGTTGCTGAAAACTCTTCGACAGCCCACGACCGGTTTCGCCCTTCTGCTCGGGGCTCACCAGGTAGGCGCAGTCCCGAGTTTCCGTCAACCTTATGATCTACTTGAACCCAAATTGCACTGTTTCCGACAAATACACTCATTTGCAAATCAATTTGGTTTTCACGAGAGACTCAACAGAATCTCTCGTGTATGATATTCTATAACTAAAAGTTCTGCACACAGAGCGCCGCATGTTTCAGTTGGCACGATATTCGAGATATCGCATTATATTTTCATAATGGAAACTACTCACAAGGTTGCTGAAAATCCGTCAACGGCCCACGACCGGTTTTACCCTTCTTGGGGCTCATCAGGTAGGCGCGCGGTCCCCGAGTTCCCGTCAACTTTGTGATCTACTTGAATCCTGTATTGTTGCCAACCGAGTCCCAGAAAACACTTGTGTTCATATTCATTCACGTTTAGTTCAACATGTGCAACGGTTATTCACGTCAAACGCGGAGAGAATTCCCCACCTCCGAGACAAAGTGAACATGGCTTTGTACCCGATGGATCGTGCACTTCGAGCTGTAAGTTTGATACGGTTTTTGCATCTGCACCTGTTGGTCTTGCATACAACCTTTCGTCATTTCACTTGAAGTCCGAAAAAAGAACGCGAAATCCGGTTCACGTGTGGCTGGGAACGCCCCTTATTTATTTGTTCCAATTTTTCTTGCTGAAGACTCCCATCGACTCTTGTGAATCGTCAGGTACCGTGGCAGTGCCTACGGGGCGGCAAATGTGTCACCAAATCTTGCGGATGCGTAAAGGTCTACTGGAAGCTCTCGCCTGTGATCACTACATTTAATGGGGTTAGGTACGACTGTTCTGTTTCGCCTTTCCTTTTCAATTTCGTCAATGATTGTAGAAGACTAAATCCTAACTTTTAATGCCTGTGGACTCGACAAAATCCCAGCAATTGAGTGCGCTCCACTTGGCATATGATATAAGCCTAATTTCAGGGAATATAAGTATATTTTTCCCAATTACATAGTAAGATTAGTTCATTTGACTGTTTGTCACTTTCCTGGTTAGATGGCAAGTCTGATAGTCAACAATTCAGCGACGGAATGATACCAGTAAGCTCTACTGCTTCTCAGGCACTTAGTTCCCATCCTATATCTCCAAATTCGACAGTGCCTCAGCAGAATTTCGATACAGAGCCCCGTGATNCTGCTGTAAATTGGTAGATTCCCCGCGTCTTAGTGGTGATCATTGACCAACAAACCGTCTGACAATGCTGGCTCGCGTTTCGTCATCTTCTGTTGTAGTTGCGTTTACCACATGCGTGCAGTAGGCCTGGGCAACTGGACAGTCTGCCTCTAAAAACGAGCAGGTCACAGGTTCTGGATTATCGGTGTGTAAATCTCAAACAGAGAAACGGATAGCAGCTGATTATGCTGTATCTGGCTGATGATTTGCAACAAGACTCTAAACGCTAGGCCTTCGGTTTTATCACCTTTGGTCTACATGAAATCTATGGTTTGTGCTCAGTAACACCATCGGCTCAACGCAAGCCGTTTGCAGCTTCTTACTATGCACGGACTTCCATCGTTTTGGAGACAGTTGACCGACCGGGATGCCAGCCCTTCGTGCCGTTTTTCCTCACTGGCTAGCAGAATTTTCAGGCTTGAGTTGATTCTCCTAATCCAGTTTTCTTCGGAATGTCCCCAGATGTCTCCAAATCAGATCGTTCCTACAAACACGAAAGCGGTATCCTTTTGTTACAGAAATTTCCGCTGATTGGGTCAGGTACAGTCCAGTATATAGCAGCATTTGTGAACTTTCACACTGATGCGCTTGAGAAACAAACAGTTCTATCAGTATCCATCCAAGAAAGCCGTCCATGGTCATGCACTTTGTTAATGCGGCAACGGTGATCCTATAAAATAGCCTAGTAATCGGTATTCACTTGCGGCGACGTTTTATAGATATCGCGGTTATTACGCACCTCCCTTCAGTTGCCTTTGTTAGCTGGACCAATACACGACAGATTGATTTTATGCAGTCATCCATATGTGACCACTTATGTTTCAGTCAACCCTCCATTCTAAAGCTTCTGGTCTTTCATGCGTCGTTTTTCGCCAATGTTTACCTTCCCCTCCAGTCGTGGAATCGTGGCAGGGTAAATTCAATGCATTAATCTTCTAGTTCTAACCACTTTCGTTCACTGTGACATTGTTTCGGTGCCTAGCTGCCATGACACCTGAATGGTGCACGATCGCTCTCAGGTTGCCAAAATCTAGATGGGAGCAGCCGAGATGCATAGGTTGGATTCGAACCACGGATCTACATCCTGTAATGCAAGTTAGCAGTTGCTATGTTACTTGCAGCTGCGCTACTATTTGCCGGACTAATTCTGCGTACAAAAGACAACCGAAAAAAACTTTCAAAAAAGTACTCATTACATTTATTCTTGTAAATTCACTGAAATTAACATCTGTTCTTTAA